CACCTTAAGGAAGCCAGGCAGTGTGTAATGACTCGCCACCCGGGTTCCCGATTCGCAGGTAAACCATCTCCGTGCTTGGAGACTCTTCTTGTGTAATGACTTGCCCTCTGGCTTCCTCATTGGCCATCTTCCCGACCAATCAGGATGTCGGGCAGAGAGTCATTACACGCTGCTTGGTTTCCTGATTGGCTGGCTCCATGCTCCCTCATCACCAAGTGACGAGGGAGCATGGAGCCGGCTCTCCGAGTGTAATGACTCGCTGCTCGGCTTCCTGATACCGGAAGTTCGGGTACCGGGCTAGGCATCAGAGCATTTGGGCGAGTACGAGTACTTGCCGAAATACTCGGTACCGATACTAGTATCGGTATCGGTGCATCCCTAGTGCATAGAATATAGAAATGATGGGCTATAAAGAACAGGGGTGGGCAACTCGGGCCCTCCAGCTGTGCTTTAAAGTGACACTAATCTCGGGAGTTAAATCTTAAAAATAAATGTAAGTTCCTTAAAGTGACATTAAACCCTCAGATTTTTTAACATAAACCAATACTGTAATGTGCGCCTTGCTGTAATCCATGGTTGTTTCCCTTCTCTTTGCTGCTCTTCCTTTTAAATCCTCATGTCTTCTCATGCTTGGGGAGAACTTCTGTTTTGCAGCTGAGTGCCTCTTCCTGTAGTGCTGGCTCAGGTTACAAACCTACACACAGACACCGTGTATCCATTCCTGAGACAAGGCAGTCTGCTGCAAAGGGAAGTTCTGCCCAGCATGAGAAGAGATACAGATTTAAAAGGAAGAGCAGCAAAGGGAAGGGAAACAACCATGGATTAGAGTAAGGCGCACATTACAGTATTGGTTTATGTTAAAAAATCTGAGGGTTTAATGTCACTTTAACTATGAACAACAATGTATCCTATTTGTGTATCACTCGGCTGTAGATCCTCCAATCCTCTCTGAATTGGTGCTGACACTGTCCTTCCTTCTGGCGGGTGGCTACCTTTGTTCCCCATGGTCCCTGTGTGTGTTGTAAAGTAGTCACCACTCCAAGCTCACTCCTGTGATGGACTACAATCTCCATACAAATTAGTAAACTGAACATGAGATTGTAGTCCATCGCGGGAGCAGCTCCTATAAGTCAACCAGCCCCATAGAAGCCCGTGGAGCTGAGCTGGGCAGACGGATATGTCAGATCTAAAAGTCATTGACCGAGAGCCCAACAGTGTCAGGAGAGAGGATGGGACCCGGAGTATTGTGATTTAAATGATGTCCCCACTATTCAAAGCTCCACTTTTAATCCTGAAAAACAAGTACGTGAGCTGCAGTTCGGTGATTTTAGGCTGAGATGATGTCATCAGTCTGCTGCAGGCAGGAGGAAGCATTTCCTCAGTCTGCTGATCTGACATCTCAGTCCAGCAGGCAGATGGTGACCCTGGATGATGCCTGAAGAAACATGGTGCCGTCCTTCTAGGGTAAAGTAATTGAAGACATTGTCCGGGGGAGTACTGTGATTTCTTGAGTTCTGTAGAGTGTTGAGGGGATCGGAGGCAGGACAGAGAAGTTCAATATCTCCCTTTCTTAGGTGAAACCTCTTTTCTATCTCTTAAATTCAGGTTTGCCCATTTTCAACAGACATGTAGTTGGCCTTGTCATACGGTGACAACACTCTGTCACTGCCCCCCAACTGTGATTCTCCGTTGTCACCCTGTCTGGTTGACCTCTGCCTGGTTCACATGGCTGTGTGTATCCTCATTAGGAAGAGCTCTCCTCACTTCCTGTCCTGGAGATGGGAGTTTTAACGCAATAGACATGCAGACAGCTATAAAGCCAAAGTTCTGGTTGGAGTTCCACTTTAAACATCATTGTATCATCTACAGTTGAGTTGAAGCTTCCTTCCAGCAATCCCTTTGTTGGGGAACCGGACCTCTCCCACCCCTCCCTCATCTTATCCGCCGTTTTATCCCAGCCGTGATGGAAGCTTGGTAAGGCCAGAGGTCTCAGTCAAAACATCTTTCCCTCCTGCAGAGTGAAGGAGTACTTGAAACACGCCATGTGTGCGCCATTCTTCTAGATCATCACTGACATCCGGAAATGGAAATTTTGGGGAATATGAAGAGTTTTCGGAGGGGAATAATATCGGCTTTATATGGCGTGTTTTGGAACAAGGATGTGGGGGGTCAGGGAGGTGTTCCTCGCACACAGCTGCTCTTCTTCATGCTTCCTATGGTGGCAATGGTTAGAAGGCGTGTGGGTGAGA